AACCATTTTGAAATTTTTTTGGTTTTTGGCAAACTGGGCTCAGTGGAAAACATGCCTGAAAATGTGTTGCTTCTTGTACATTTTATGTTGCTTCTTGTATGCGAAAGTGAAATGTCCAGTGGCTGGTGCTAAAAGTGCTTTCAGTTTTATCCAGAAGATTGAATGTGAATCTGGCAATGTTTATTTATAGGTGCTGTATGTATTGCAACAGTTCAGAAATGAGATGTCTGGTGAGTGTCACTAAAATGTTAATGCTCTATTGTGTTTGAAAATAATGTTCCATCTACACTTAACCCTACCCTATGCCTAAGTGATAATGTTAACAAAAGCAAACGTGAGATAAGAAAGAAAAAAGATTCTGAAGAAAAAAAACTATGCCATTTTACCCTAGCTGCTTCTAAAAATCTTTGATGTCTTTTATTGTAACTCGTGTTTCACGGGAGTCATAAAAAAGAGCAATGCTGTATCAGGTGAGCAACTGAGCAAAAAAAAACATATGTTTGGATGTATGATACAACCTTAAAAATGATTACAAACCATTCAGTATGGAAAGTGTTTTGAGGTCATAACATAGTGTATAACATCTGCCTTTGTTATCATAATTTGTATGAAATGTAAACTTCTTGCTGTTTCACTGCCACTAGTGGTAATTTCAGCTAGAAACTGCAGTGACGTTTATGTAAATGTATAGGTACGTTTTTGGAGTTTTGCAAAAATGTAGGTAAAGGCATGTTTTTGTTATGAGCCTATGTTGTGTTTTGGTCCATGTCAGTGGGTCCAAAACAACACTGGACCCCACTGACTTTCATTGTATGGACAAAAAAAATTATAATAATAATAATTAATAAAAAATTTCAAAATATCTTCCACAGGGGCAAAAAAGTCATGCTGGTTTGGAGTGACATGAGGGTTAGTAAATGATGACAGAATTTTCTTTTTTGGGCGAACTATCCCATCACTTTAATCTATTTTCTTCCCTTGACTTTATTCTAATAGGAAAACACACCATGTTCATTGCAATTTCTAAAACCTCCGACATCTTCTCAGATTCAAAATTCAGTCTGCAAGATAGATTTATTTGTTGTCCAGGAAGTGGTGTCACATACGGCCTTAATGAGTTTCTCAGTAAGTAGACTCTGACAGATAACTTGTGCTTTGGTGCTCTTGACCCCAGCTGGACAGTTTCTGTCAGCTGCTGAATGACAACACTGTAAAATGGTCTGATTAGGTATTTTCAACCCCCCACAGAAGTCATCTGAAAGCATGACCAAATATGTTTGCTGAAAAGACCAGCATTGCTCGCCTGACTCATTTCCGCAACTGCGAAATGTTTATTCTGAATAGTTAATTTCAATGAACCGCTTCAAAGAAATTATTCAGGGAGTTGTTAACCCAGCCAGAAAGAAACATTTAACTTATAACTCTAAGAATACCTATTATTTTGTATAATGATATAGTTTTGCTGCAATCGATATATTGATGACACACATTAATCTCAGTACTCAAAAACTCACTCTAGTCTGATTCAGAAAGTATAGAGAGGTGGTCAGTCAGATGGCTGGGGTTCAGGACTCTGGTTCCTGATTACGGACCTATGGACTGCAGTGATCATGATCGGTGATCACATCAGTATTCTCAGACAGGGAGACACCCTTCAGCTCTTCCCCTCTGCTTTGCTGATGAAATGCTGCCATGTCTGAGGGTAATGCTGAAAGCGCAGAGAGGAGGGGACATGGTAGTTCTTTTGTAAGTGTTCGAGAAAAGACAGTGAGAAAAGAGGATAGGAAGAGAAAGAGAAACTGATCTATGCCAAATGGAATTCTAAATGAAGTTTGGGAGGAGCTCATAATCCTGTCAATCACAGCACTCACTCCTGTGATCATTCTTCTGACATCTTTCCACATCCCTAAACTCCACATTTCTATTTGTATTATATATCCAGCAATATGACAAAGTATTACACTGTTCCAGACAGTATAATATTTATTTATTTGTGTAATATTTATAGTTTAATATTTATTTGCATGAGAGGTGAGGATTTTCAATTATTTTTCATGCAGGTTACATAGTTACACCAGCAGGTGGCAGCCAGTGATTGTCTTTATGAGTGAATCTTTGAATGATTCATTCAAGTGATTCGTTCAAATACACTGATTAATTCAGGAAAGAAACAAGTGACTGGCTGCATCCGAAATCCCATACTCTCTTGAGAAGAAACTTTTCGAATAAGTAATTACTTTGCGACCACAAAAAGAGTATGTTTTATAGTGCGTGATTGTAATCTGAACGTACTGCATTTGCCATGTTATCATTGTCACGTGACCTACCAGTGTCAGTTGCGTTGCGTCACAGCCAGGGGTGTGAAGTAACGAATTACAAATACTCACGTTACAGTAATTTTGATGTAATAAAACTGCAACTCGTTAATAAACTTTTTTTTTTTTAATCCATTTTATACAGTCCGCCTTCATTTAGCAAGTGCACTTGCGCATAAACAATTTTCAAGTTCAACACTTTTTGTTCCGTTCAGTTGTGGATGCTGCTGATTCACCGAGACCGCCAGCAAAGCAAAGAGACATGCGTGTGTGTGTGTGTGTGTGTGTGTGTGTGTGAGTTTTCCTTT